GAGATAGCAGGTGTACACGACTTGTTCAGCAAATGACCATTTCGAAACCTTTGCTAACAACCACACGCAGCTGCACAACCAGCTCCCAATTTAACCATGTAAAAGACCTCTAGATGCTTATTTTTCTGCTGGGTGAATGTTAATCGTGATGCAGCATGAAACAAGCATGATCAACCATCAGCCGATGCATTTCTTTTCTGAATGGCTTATGCCACAGAACAAAGTAAAGACGAAATCATCGAGATCCACACCACGGCGAGTATTACCTAAACGAGTTATACAAGCTATATATCGATATACCCGAAGCATTAGAAAAATCAGCAGAAACCAGAAAAGCGAAATATAGATCATCAGATCTCATACCAAATATGAAGCCAAGGGAGCTCATCAACGCCTTGTTACAGATCACGATCGACACCGACGAGACCACCGACAGGCTCAGCGCTCCGACGGTCCCCAGCTGGAACCCCGCGCCCTCGCCCATCTCCAATCCAATCGAAATCCCCTCTCACTTCCTCGATCTAAAAACCACACCTTTCCCCCATGGAAACAAACATCAAAACCCCCCTAGAAAAGAGACCCAAAATCTCAAATCTTTTCGCAACGCAAGAACTCACCTCATCATCACCCAAGAACCGCGACGAATCCGACGCCCAGCCGGATCAGAGGATAGATCCCAGAAGTGGGAACCCGGATCTGAAGGGAGATGCAGAAGGAACACAAGATCTGCGCCTCTCTCCCTCCGCTTCTGGGGATTGGGAGGAGCAGAGGGCGGGAGCGAGACAGCGAGCGAGTGTCGTGTTGCGCTCTAAGTCGCGTCGCCAAATGTTACTCGCCTTCGCCACCGGCCTTAAAAATGGCGAGCTAATTGCGGGAAATTGGTTACAGGATCCCTTAATCGGTGAAGCCAAACGAACGGAATCCTGCCATTGGAGTACACCGGCCGCATCCAACGGTTGACGAACACGCGATCTTGCCGGTAAGTTTGATCGGATGGTTGGCGTAAAAGAAATCTTTCGGACAATTTATCATATTGATCCATGTCATATGTTCTTTTTCCATTTCAGGTCCCTCTCACGTCTCTCGCTAACGATTCATAACCCTTTAATTATTTAATTAATTAATAATTTACTATTTATCATCCGTCTAAATATGCTTTTATCTCTTTTTATTTTCTCTATCTTTAATTAATTATTTTTAAAATAATAATTAATTAATACTTTATAATTCATAGTCCTCACCACTCATCTTACCTCATAGCCTACTTTATAATTCATAGTCGTCGATCTTTGCTCTCTATGTATTCTATCACTCTCTCCTCCTGTGTATTTTACTATCGATGACTCTTCTTATCATTTATCGTTGCTTGTTATTATTGAGCATCACCCACGACCTACTTCTTAATACTTTCTATCACTAATCAACGTCCCCAATCTTGCTCGTCTGCACACCTTGCAAATTCTCTCCACTACTCGTCACTCTCGATGAAAGAGAGAAGGAAAAGATGAGAAGTGAAAAAAAAAAAGGGTTATAGGTAAAGAGTAAAAAAATTTTATTAAAATTAAATTATAAATTGAGAATATGTATCTATTTATAAAAAGATAACTTAAAAATATTCAAGATTCATGGGATTGTAAATAATTAGAAACGAGTTATAAATAGTAATATCCGAAATTAATTTGGGGAACCGAAGAGGGAAAAAAACTCAAGCTGGGAGTCTTTTCGAAAAATTACCAAAATTTCAGCTTTTTTTTTTAATATTAATATTAGTATTCAATTGTGTTTAATTAACAGCTATTAAAGAAATGTCACACATTTTTGGTGCAAAAATGTTTTTCCTTAAAAAAGTTCATGTTAAATGGTTTTCTTCACTTGAGTTTTCGCGCACGTGAAAGACTAATATAAGCAAGAAAATAATTGGTTGGGTGGTTTTTTTAGAAAAACTGCCCGAGTTTTCTTTTACGAATATTAATATTCATTTGTATTTGTTCTTGAAAGGTATGGAAGAAATGTCTTATTTTTGGGCCATTATTATTATTTTCTTGAAAAGACTCATGTCATGTGTTTTTCTTTTGCGATTAAAGTCCATTCCACCTCTTTTGAAAACTAAAAGAAAACTAATAGAAGGACCCAAATCTTTAATGAATATTAAGTACAAAAAGAAAACTAAAAAATTTTCTTATAGATAAATATTGGTATTCATGTATATATATTATTGATAAAGGTTGAAGGCTTAAAATCTCATTCAATATATTTTATATCTTAAACAATATACCAAACTCATTTATGAAAATTCATAATCTCATCTAATATATATTTTAAAAAAATATTAATTACATTAATCGGTAAAGAGTTTAACAAATCACGTCAAAAATCCTCTAATCAAATCTCTGTCATCTTCACTTATTCTTTTTTTTTTTCTACATGAGATCCTTCTTACTATTTTTTTTTTTAGTATATTAGTAACACAAAGAGGAAAGGGAGCTTTTAAGTCAACATGAGAAAATTAAAAATTTATAGAATATGAATCATTTTCCAAAAATTATGCAGCACTTCTGTTTAAATTTCTTTCGTTGATATATATATATATATATATATAT